GTTAAAAGGCATGTGTAATGGATCTGTGTGTTAAACGTGAAAAATGAGACCTCTCCCAATATGTATCTTGCTGAGTTTAATTGGCAAATATATCCAGTATGCAAAGAAGAAACCCACTGTAATGATCAATGCTACAAGTCATCAGAAACGATCCTCAGGCCAGGCACAGGGGTTCACACCTATAATCCCAGCACTTTGGGAGGCTGAAGTAGGTGGATCACTTGAGCTCAGGGGTTCGAGATCAGCCTGGGTGACATAGTGAAACCTCATCTCTATTAAAAATACCAAAAATTAGCTGGGCGTGGTGGCATGCACCTGTAGTCTAGGTACTCATGAGGCGGAGGAGGGAGGATAACTTCAGCCCAGGAGACGCAGGTTGCAGTGAGTTGAGACTGTGCCACTGCACTCCAGCCTGGGCAACAGAGCAAGACTCTGTCTCAAAAGAAAAAAAAAAAAAGAAAGAAAAAGAAAGAAACAAACTATCATCAAAGTCTCCTAGGAACCTCTAATTCTTGTCTCCTACAAAAAAAACCCCAGTATTGCAGTGCCTCATTGCTCTTACTGTATTTCCCACAGTATACCTTCATATGATTTCTGTACCTCAACTATCACTCTGCCAATGTATCATCCAGGTGATGAAGGTTAGAAACACCAACTTGTCCTTTTCAAGATCTACAGTTGACTCACTGAAAGATACCCAACATTTTAACACAGCATATACGCATACATTTCTTCAACAAACTGGGTGCCTACCATCCGCCACGCACTGTGGTAGCTGCTGGAAATGATGTGGTGAGAGAGCCTGTTTTGACTTTCAGAGCGCACTTTCAGGGGAGACCAGAACAATGTAAGAAGTGTATTCGATGCTGTGGGAAGACAAAGGAGAGGCACCTGGAGGAAACTTGGAAGCCACTGAAAGATACTAAATAAGGAAGTAGCATAATAGCCCTGCCAGGGGACTAGGCGGAAGGGAGACAGGTAGCAGGAAGAACACTGTTTTGACAACGAGCAGGGGAAAACTGGTGAAGATCTGTGTGTAAGGAGGTCCTGGACTTGGGTAAAGAGAAAAGAGAAGGGCCAGCCAGGAGGTAGAATTGACGATGCATGATAGATTTGCTGTAAGGGAAAAGGGAGAAAGAGAAGTCTAGAATCTAGGCTGGTTGACCCATGCTGTCACCGTAAGCATGACAGTAACAGGTTTAGGGGAGTAAGACAGGTTTTTTTTGACTGTTGATGTTGAGGTATATGATATCTAAGAGGGAATGTTCACTAGTCAATTGGATGCAAGGCCTGGGACTCTAGAAAGGTCGGTGGATATAAGGTTAGATAATTATTTATTAATTTTTATTTATTTATTTATTTTGAGATGGAGTCCCGCTCTGTCACCCAGGATGGAGTGCAATGGCACTGTCTTGGCTTACTGCAACCTCTGCCTCCCAGGTTCAAGTGATTCTCCTGCCTCAGCCGCCCAAATAACTGGAATTACAGGCGCCTGCCACTATGCCCTGCTAATTTTTGTATTTTTAGTATAGACAGGATTTCATCATGTTGGCCAGGCTGGTCTCGAACTCCTGACCTCATGATCTGCCCGCCTCGGCCTCCCAAAGTGCTGGGATTATAGATGTGAGCCACCACGCCCAAGCAAGTTTAGAGATTTATTAGACTGGAGGCAGGTTGGTTTGCGTGGAGAAGAGAGAAAAGCAGAGGGCAGAACCCTGGAACGTCTTAAGCTTCGGCTAAAGGACCAGAAGCCCACAAAGACACAGTGGACAGTGGGCACAGAGATAGGAAGGAAAAAAGCAGTATCATGACCATGAAGAAAAGACAGTTTCTGAAAGGGAAAGATGTTGATGGTGGGTGTCACACGCCACAGAGAAGTCGAGGTAAGAAAGGAAACTCATTTTTGGGACTTACTTGAAGAGCATAACCTCACCATAAATGCCCTAACAAATGAGTAACTTCTTCAGTTTCCCGGGATGCCTTTACTGCCAAAATAACCGCAGATAGCCATACTTCTTTTATTTATGTTGTGGGTTTATGTTTACTAAAGGTAATCCTATAAGTGAATCTATAATTATTTTAAAATAAAAAGTTGTAAAAAATAGTCCCATAATATAATCATTTAAAAGAGATTCAAAAACATTTACATTTTTTCAGTAAACCTCACATTAGCTAATGTGGTAAGAGGGGAGACCCCCCCCACCTCCTTCTGTTTCCCAGTCTCCACCTCCTCTCTCCCTCCCTCCCCTCCAGATGGGAAGGAGGGTGCAAAAGAGAAAAAATAAAATAAAATACCAAAGAATTAGGAAGATGACTCCCTTTTCAGTTCCCAGTGTCTCTGCTATCTGTAAGCCTTGAAAGAGTTGCAAATGACTGTTACCCTACCGTCTGGAGCCTGTCACTGGGTCACGCCCCCACATCTGCATGGTCCAGGCTCCCTCCTGGAAACACCTCTGCCAACTAATAGTTTACTGCCTTTGCCTTGTCTCTGTAAGCCCCCTCCCCTGCCGGTTGCCGCTCACACTGCATATGAATTAGCAAATCAATAAAGCCAAAAGATCGTAAGGTCGGACGTCCAGCAAATGGATGTCCAGCAACAGTTTTGCCTCAGTTTCGCCTTTAGTGTTGTAAGCCTAGAGAAAAGCTGCTTCTCCGGGAGCTCAGGAATTGAGGCAGTAACCGACTCCCCCACGCTCCCCTAGCTCCTGGCCGAATAAAAAGCCACTTTCTTCCTCAGGTCCGTGTTCGAGAGGTTTGCTCCTCACTGTTCCTGCTTCGGTAGGACTCACCAACTTGAATAGCTACAGGGGCCAGGCAAGGAAAATGAAGAGTTAAGCAATTTGATTGGGGGCGGGGTAGGGGAGGGTAATAACTCAAAACCCAAGTCCTTTCTAAAAAGAGCAGCCAATAGCTGGTTCTCACTGTATGGCCCTATGGGCCAATCTTGCCAGGTCATCTAGTTTTTTGAGAAAAGCCAGAAATGTGAATTTTTACATAAAATCTCCCAATTTTAAAATGTAGCCAGTGAGTTTGATTTTTTTCAAAATACTTTGTAAATGTAACAAAATACATTGAGAAGAAATTAAGTTGTAAATAAAGGAGGCTGAGGAGGAAGGAACACTCATAAGCAGTAATAGAGCTGGATTCACGCCTGTAATGCCAGCACTTTTGGAGGCTGAAGTGGGCAGATCACCTGTGGTCGGGAGTTTGAGATCAGCCTGACAAACACGGAGAAACCCCATCTCTATTAAAAATACAAAATTAGCTGGATGTGGTGGTACATGTCTGTAATCCCAGCTACTCAGGAGGCTAAGGTAGGAGAATCACTTGAACCCGGGAGGTGAAGGCTGCACTGAGCCGAGATCGTGCCATTGCACTCCAGGCTGGGCAACAAAAACAAAACTCCATCTCAAAAAAAAAAAAAAAAAAAAAAAGAGCTGGATGCAGAACCTAGTTCTTCTAGTTCCCAAACTGTTATGTCTTTCCTATTTGATAATACAGCTTCTTTACCTAACAAATGACACACACACACACTAGTCAGACATACAAGTTAATAACCACAGCTTGCTTTAATAAATTTGGGACAGACAGCATAAGCTTGCCATTTAATTAATCCAGATGCTGTCTCTCTTAAAATGTTTTTAAGTGGGAGCTACAGACGAGTCATCAAATCAATTGTCTTTGCCTCACAAATTCTGCTTTAAAAGTACAGCGCACAATTATAGCACAGTTTTGAGCAAAATTATAACTCAGCTAAATAAATATCTTTATATCAAGTAATAACATCATGTAGATATTTTAAGTTTCTGGAGAAAAGTTTAATTATTGCAGAGCTGATAGAAAGCTGGACTCCAATTATTAAGACTTTAAGTACTGGGCGCTGTGGCTCATGCCTATAATCCCAGCTCTTTAGGAGGCTGAGGCAGGACGATCACCTGAGGTGGGCCGATCACCTGAGGTCAGGAGTTCAAGACCAGTCTGGCCAACATGGTAAAACTCCATCTCTACTAAAAGTATGAAAATTAGTCAGGCGTGGTGGTGGCACCTGTAGTACCAGCTACTCAGAAGGCTGAAGCAGGAGAATCGCTGGAACCCGGTGGTGGAGGCTGCAGTGAGCTGAGATTGTGCCACTGCACTCCAGCCTAGGTAGCACAGTGAGACTGTCTCAAAAAAAAAATTTTTTTTAGTACAGACTATACCCATCCATTCATTCAACATATATGATGAACCTACAATTTCCTGTTCACTAGGGACAGATTTTCCAGCTCAGGGTATATACATCTAAACTAATTATTTTAAAGAAACACAGAGTGAGTGCTACAGGAGTCCAGAAGGAATGGGCTAGCGTAGCCACTGATCTTCTCCTTGTTAACAGATCTCTAAAGTGAAGTATGCTGATTTTGCAAAATCCAAAGTCTCAGAGCTAGTGGGCTTGGTGGGAGACAGACCCACGTGTTCTCACTGTAAGTCCACAGCTGAGATACCGTGAATAAAAAGGAATCACTTTTTGTATTGTTCTCTCTCCCAAGGAGTCAATGTACTCCTTTGTAAAGTCACTTTCGCCAACAGAGTCCTAACAAATGTTAGCTTTGTCCTCTGATTTAAGCCACTCAACTCAATGTCATGTTTTGTTTTCCTTTTGGGAGTCACTAACTAGCTTGGACTTGAAAGACGTCTTCTGTGCAAGGGGAGGCAAATCTTGCTGGCTGGAAGCAGCAGAATCAATCTGGCGCCAGGATCATCTGAATTTAGCAGTCTTTACATAAACTCTAACCCAAATACAAACCCACCAGCTTTTACTGCTGAAGTTTAATATTCACAGCAACACCACAAAGTGGCCTTGCGTTGCCACTAGGCCCGGCTTGAGCTTTTGCTCGATCAGGGCCTGCATTTCCTGGGTGAAATGTTATTTATAGCCAGGGCCAGGAGAAGCCAAAGCAGACAGCAGCTGCGCTGCAGCGCGGGGCCGCCGCCATACAAGCAGGTCTCACACCGCTCACCTTCACAGTCGGCCCTCGGCTGCCCTCCGGTCTCCTGGCCCTGCACCAGAACCGGGTGAGAGACCCAAAGCCCGGCGCAAAAGGCCACCACGGCAGCTGGGCTCGCGCACCACATGCTAGACCAGCAGCTTCAATCGCCTCCACCACCGGCGCCCACTGCCCACCGCCCACCGCCCACCGCCCACCGCCCACCGCGGTACTGAAGAAGGCTGAGGAGTAGAGTGCAAGATTGGAAAGAATCTGCCCTTAGTTGCCAGGATAAGTGACGTAACTGAACTGAGAGTTTCCATTGGCTCTCAAGGAAGGGGCAGGAAGGAGGCGGAGCGAAGAAGCCTTTCCCGGCCCTCCCCCGCTGCGCGTGCGCACGTGCAGTTCCCCCCCCCCGCCCCCCTCGCCCCGAGAGCGTAGAGACGCGCTGAAGCTACTCGCCGACTGCGCGTGAAGAAAGGCCGAAACTTCACGCTGATTGGCGGCGACCCGGAGGCGGACGCGGCGGACCGGACGCAGGGGGCGGGAGGGAGGGAACGTGAAGCTCCGCGGCGCTTGATGGGGCCGTAGGACGGCCGGTAGCTGTCGCTATTGGGGGGGCTCGTTCATTTCTGCCGCCGCTGTCCCTCCCGCCTCATGGCGGCCATCGGAGTTCACCTGGGCTGCACCTCAGCCTGTGTGGCCGTCTATAAGGTGAGGGGCTGCGGAGCTGGATTACGGCTTCATGACGGCCACCCGATTCTCTGGCGCGGGGTCATCCACAGACAGGCTTGAGAGCGGCGTGTCGCCCGCCTAGAGATGTGAAGTGGCGAGGAGACTCCGGGGCTAGGGCCTGGCGGGCCCGACGTCGCCCCCGGCGCCTCCTCGGGAAAGTTCTCTGCTACGCGACGGAGGCTCCTGGCGACGCAGGCGCGCGGGGTCCCAGGGGCGTCAGGGCGGAGGATACCCAGAGGGGTCCCGCGGACTGCGGGGTGGCCAGGTGCCCGGGGGATCCCGGGGACGGGGGGGCCGCTGGGTGCCCGGGGGTCCCGGGGACATCGGGGCTGCGAGAATTTGGGGGGGGTCTCGGGGACGTCCTGGCCTCAGGATCCTGGAAGGGGTCTCGCTGACGTCTGGGCCTCAGGATTCTCGTGGGTGGGCCGTCCTAGGAAAGTCGTGGCCGCGAGGTACTTGGAGGCAGTGGTCCTGGGGACTGCAAGGCCGCAGTACTCGCCGCCCTGGGCCCTAAAGTCTAGGCCCAAGAGTGGCGGGGAGGCTGCAGTATGTAGCTGGAGCTGATGGTCCAGCGAAGCTGCCTGGCTGTGAAGCCAGTTGATTGTGTGTGCCCTACAGAGGTGGCCTTTCTCGAAGGGAGAGCTTGACAGGACTTGTGGCCTTTCTCTCATCAATGGAGATGCAGAAGGAACGATAATCATGAACTCTGCTGCCACTAGTCCCGCGTTTAAATGTCAAATGACTTGTTAGTAAAAGTCAAAGGGAATAATGGTAATTCATTTGTAGAAACAGGAAGAAAGGGACCCGGCGCGGTGGCTCACACCTGTAATCCCAGCACTTTGGGAGGCCTAGGCCGGCCGATCACTTGAGGTTAGGAGTTCGAGACCAGCCTGGCCAACTTGGTGAAACACCGCCTCTACTAAAAATATAAAAAAAAATTAGCCAGGCGTGTAATCCCAGCTGCTCAGGAGGCTGAGGGATGAGAATCACTTGAACCCAGGAGACGGAGGTTGCAGTGAGCCTAGATCCGCCACTGCACTCTGCACTCCAGTCTGGGAGCAAGACTCTGTCTTTAAAAAAAAAAAGAAAGAAAGAAATGGTAAGTAGAGAAGTAGGAAAGGTAACCTAATAACAGGCTTCGTCTTGTGTACAGAAAGGTTATTATTACTTTTGATTCAATTGTTGACTTTGCAGAGCAGAATGAAAACATGAAGGAGTTCTTCATGGAATTATAGGCCTTCTATAAAAACTAGGAAATTAAATGGTAATTAAATCTGCAAATTTAAAATATTAATAGAGTGGTATTTCTTTCCACACTGATGGCAAAGTAACACTGGTACACACATGTCTGAATACATCTAATGAGACTGTGTATTTCTTTACAACAGAACTAATATAGTTGTGTTTTCTTCTCTAGGATGGCCGGGCTGGTGTGGTTGCAAATGATGCCGGTGACCGAGTTACTCCAGCTGTTGTTGCTTACTCAGCAAATGAAGAGGTACTAGTCCCCTCATTTTTGTACTTTTAAAATAATTTAAAATTACATGCATTGTTTTATACATATATATATATATGTTTTTTTTTTTTCAGATTGTTGGGTTGGCAGCAAAACAAAATAGGATAAGAAATATTTCAAATACAGTAATGAAAGTAAAGCAGATCCTGGGCAGAAGGTATGGAATCAAATGATACTTTTAAATATGGTAACAGATACATGTTTATAAATTCTAAGCATAATGTGAAATGAAACTAGAAACAGCATAGTTTGTTTTCTCATTGCTTTTTATGACTGAGTCATTACAGAGAGTACCCCCAGGTTTCTTTTGATTATTAATGTTGGATCTTCTCCAGTGCGGGAATCATTCAGACGTTAGTTTCTTGCTGACAGGTCTGTTAATGTTGATAAATGCCAACATTCATTTAATTTTGGTAATTTGTGTCATTCAGAGGTAGTAATTTGGATTTTTCACATTTTTAGATTTTTTTAACCAAGAGAATTTCAGAGATTTTGTGAGAATTTGAAGACTTTTTGGCAATGTGGTTCAATTTTGCGGAATCTATTACAATTGTTTATAATTTATGTAGACACTATTGATTTTCTTAGGATCTTTTGTGACACTTTCTGGGAACTGACTTGTCCCAATGACTTACAAATTTAATGATTAGAGTAAGAGCTAAATTAACGTCTTATGTAAGAATCAGATTAATCATCTGTTGTAACTTTAATTAAGTTTTTTTAAGATTAGAAGAGGCTTGCTTCCCCAGACTTCTGTCTCCTCAAATTATAGATTGCTATAATAATTAGGGGTTTTCCTTTTCACTACTGTAGTAATGCTTGATAGAGTGTTTTTAAATTTTCAAAGTGCTTTCACATCTATTTAATCCTCTCAGCATCCTTATAAAATAGGCAAGGCAAATACTATCATTCTCCATTTATAGATGAGAAAATCAAGGTACAAGGAAATTGTGGCATTATTTTCAGGGTAAACTGGATAAGACTGCAGGTCAGATCTCACCCTCTGCCCCAGGTTCTTTCTTCCAACTTCTTTTAGTGAGAATTTAAGTAAAAATGTCCTTGTATTGATTTAGAATTTGGATATTAGAGATTAAATTTAATATTTATTTCTTTTATAGTATTTATTTTATATCTCTTACCTGTGTTCAATTAAATTGAACTTGATATTAATCTTTTTCCTTAGGATATTTGTGTACTAAGCCAAAAACTATAGTTGTTTGGAGAGAATTCAGTATTTGGTGACAATAAATATATCCCCATATCCTTTTACCTACTGACAGAACTTAGTACTGAGCGTATTAAATATAAGTTGGTGTCAAGTATTTTCATATCATAAAGCCTGACAAAAAGAGTTGTAGATGGGTCTTAAAGCCTGAATCACCGAGCAGCCAACAGTATGTTTGTTTTTTTTGATTAAACTTTTTGAATGAATTGTAGTTTCCCATGCTGCTGTGTAAGAAATAATGCAGAGACATTAAACTCATTACTGGATTCACCACTTCTCCCCGTGGTTACATCTTGCAAAACTGTAGTGCAATATCACAGCCAAGATGCTCACATTGATATAGTCCAGATACAGAACATTTCCTTAGATCGCTCCCCTGGTAGCCGACAATATGTTCCTGTTTCTTTTGTGCTGCTTTGTGGGGGCTGATGGTTAGAGTAGTGACGTGGCTGTCTTCTGCCATGTTGTACAAGAAAGCTTTGTATTAGCAGAGCAGCTTAAACTCACTTTTCTGGCCCATTGTGACAGTCAGATGGGTAACAGAGAGCTGCAGTGTGCTGTGATTAGTGAAGGCTGAGCATCTTTCAGATTGCTATAGTGTGGTCATGCTTGGACTCCTGTAGAGTTAGCTGCCTGTGGTCCAGGTGATTTTCCCTCTCAGCCTATTTACTCACCAGACACGGGTGATTTTTACAGATCCATTGTTGTGCCAACTCTCAGCCATGGAAGCATTTGGCCCTTTTGTTACCAAGCCATTAAGTCCTTGGTGCGACGTCTACCTTTGGTGAACTCCCAAAGTTGGGCTTTTTCAGTCTTGGCCTCATGCCTATTTATGACCTACTCACAGGTAGCACCACTTAACTTGCTGCCAAAATTATCCTTACACCCTTCCTGTAACTCTCGTTCCCCTGTGGCCTTCCAGCCAGAAATGCGGTCCTTGGACCTGGCTTCTCGGCAATTATCCCTGACGGGGAAGAACCGGCTGGCTCCTGGAGATATCCTGAGAGCACACAGAGCTTCCCCACACCTTCAGACTTGCACCTTGCTGTCGAGAAGCTGCCCAGCCCTCCTTCCCAACCCACAATGGCCAGTGCCAATAGCAGCGCGGGCATCCGGTGGTCCAGACAGGAGACACGAACTCTTCTCTCCATACTAGGCGAGGCGGAGTATATTCAGCGCCTCCAGACTGTGCATCACAATGCAGATGTCTATCAGGCTGTGTCTAAGCGAATGCAGCAGGAGGGCTTCCGCCGCACCGAACGTCAGTGTCGCTCCAAGTTTAAAGTGCTAAAGGCATTATATTTAAAGGCCTATGTTGCCCATGCCACAAGTATGGGTGAGCCACCACACTGTCCATTTTATGATACGTTGGATCAGCTTCTCCGAAATCAGATAGTGACTGACCCAGACAACTTAATGGAGGATGCTGCTTGGGCCAAGCACTGTGATCAGAACTTAGTGGCCTCTGATGCCCCAGGGGAAGAGGGAACCAGCATTCTAAAATCTAAAAGGACTCAGGCAGCTGATCATCAGCCTATCTTGAAAACAGTTAAGGAATCAGATGAGGATTGTCAGCTAAGAATCAGTGACCGGATACGAGAAACCAGTGACCTTGAGGACTCCTGGGATGAATCCTCGGGTGCAGGTAACTCCCAAGCATGTGAAGGATTCGGGTCCCAGAGTCACGTGGCTCTAAAAAGCTGCGTCTGTTTGGATAGTGTCCTCTTCAGCATAGTTCCTGTTTCTGCCTCATTCTGTCTCACCCACCTTTTTAAAAACCTAATACTGAACTCAAGGGCTCCAGGTTTTCAAAACCTATGCCCCTAGCTACATAAGATATTAGAACTCTTTAAACCTAGAAATGCTCTTTAGAACCAAACCAGTTCTGGCATTATTTGTAATGCGTAGTTAGGAACTTGTAGGTCTAGAGTGGGCTGGATAGCTATGTACAAAGCGGTTCAGGGAGGCAAGGGAGAAGTTTTAGAGGTGAAATTAAATAGACCAAAATGTTCAGATTAAGGAAATGGATTCTTCCCAGTCCCTGGTGGAAAGAGGCCTTTCCATGAACAACAAGTTTTATAATTGTCTCTCAGCTCTGCTGCTGGCTCCCAACATTCCCTTAGCAGGAATGTCCTCTTTGCAACATTGTTGCTTTGTTTTTCAGGGTGCTCTCAAGGGACCCCCAGCTACAGCAGCTCCCACAACCTTTTCAGAGGTGCAGTTGCTCCCTGTCAGAGCAGCCCCATGGCCAGACTGGGTGTGTCTGGGGAGCCCAGCCCCTGCACCAGCACCAGCCACAGCACTCCTGGGGTAGCCTCCACTCCGCAGACTCCAGTCTCCTCTTCCAGAGCTGGTTTTGTTTCTGGTGGGGATAGGCCCTTGACCAGTGAACCCCCTCCAAGGTGGGCAAGGCGAAGAAGGCGGTCAGTGGCCAGGACTATCGCAGCTGAGTTGGCAGAAAACAGGCGATTGGCACGAGAACTCTCAAAGCGGGAGGAAGAAAAACTGGACAGGCTGATTGCTATTGGTGAGGAGGCCAGTGCTCAGCAAGACACTGCCAATGAGCTCCGCAGGGATGCTGTCATCGCAGTCAGACGTTTGGCGACAGCAGTGGAAGAGGCAACTGGTGCTTTTCAGCTAGGCCTTGAAAAATTGCTTCAGAGGTTGATTTCAAATACCAAAACTTAGGAACTGATTACAAAAGGCTCTGTTTCCTAAACTGGTAGAAGTCTAGTTCCAAAACCTGCCTTCTGAATCCCTGGCTCCTTTTCTGTGTCCTCAGAAAAAACATGGATGAACCATTATTATCCAGATAGTATGACTATACTTACTAGTTCGTTTTCCCAAGATTCTCCACCAAATGGAAGACCTTTCAGAAATGCAAGGGGTGGCCAAGTTCTAGAGAACTGGATTGTCCTAGCTTTGTCACAGATGTGAAGCAGTTTAGTTTACCTCTCTCCAACGGTTTCTTCATCTGTAAAATGGGAATCAATAATAACTCCTGCCCTGCCTACCTCACAGGGTTGTTGTGAGGATCACATGACTCATAGATGTGAAAGGGTTTAAAAGTTTAAAAGCACTAAACACATTCAAGTTATTGATGTATATGGCCTTGGCTGAGGTAAGGCACGTTAGTTTACAAGAGACGGGAGTATGGATGTATACTGTGATTTCATTGCTTGAATCTTTCCTTTGCTGGTTTAACTTGATTGCTTCATGGAGTTTGAAATCTTAATTTTTAAAATCCCTGTGTGGCTCATTAGACTTGAATAGGCACAACCCATATTTGTACCTTAATCTCGTACGTTTCCATTGCTGTCTCTCTGACATATCTATTAGCAAGCACTCTTTTAATAGTCAAACCACTTTCTCTCCCTCGTTTTTCTGGTTCTTAGTCTCTAGCAATATAAGGATATAAGAAGTGACAGGAACCCACTATAGTGTGTTATGGTTTATATCGATAATCTTCAATATAAAACATTGGCCGTTTTATAAAATATTAAATGTAAGTAAATTCTTTGCATTTCATACAATTTGGGTCCCTTTAGATGCCTAAGTTACATCTTTTACATTTCAGTTGCCATTTGAACATTGTAGAAACAATTAAGATTATATCAGTTTCCAATCTGCTTTTAGCTGATGTCATTCTTTTCTGTTATTTTTTTGTCTAGTATGTTATACTAGACATGTTATACAGGGCAAGCCCTAGAAAAACTTTCCTTTTAAGGAGCTTTCCAAGGTTACTTTTCCTCAGATGTTGTAGACAGAAGTTTGTGTAGTTGATGGCATCTGGTAGAAGAGAAAAGCTTTGTTTCCTGCTTTAACTTTGGGAGGAGTAGAGGATGGTGTGGATAAAGAGTGTCTGCAATAGATGACTTCTTTAAAGCACTAGCCCTGAACAGATGAGTTCCCTCCCCTCCCCTAGACACACTTCGGGAGAGGTGAAGGTGATAAGCGACACTTTGGATTTACTCTAGAAGGGAAGCCATTATTGTCTGTCATTAATCTAACTTAAAGCTTTCAGTGGTTTACTCAGTACTTTTTGGAATACAAATAGGAATCTTTGGGATTTAAAAGTTTTCCCACAGTCTAGAAGCTGGAAAAATAAAAAAAGAGTGGGCATGTTGAAAGAGAGTTTATTTTCTATTTTTACAAGCTCGAATGCTTAGCTAAATGCTGGAAGTGCACTTGGGTGGAGAAACGGTCGGAGCAGCAGTAGAAACATACCCAGAACCATGAGTAGATGGCAAGCGGGCTGCTATGTCAACCCAGGGGTGGAGGTGTGAGGCAGCTGGCGTGGTAAAATGTGCTGGGATCTAGTTAGAATTCCTGGACTCAAATCCTGTCACAGTTTGTTTCATCAGGCAAATCACTTGCCCTTTTCTATTATCTTGTTTTTGAGACAGACTCTCACTGTGTTGTCCAGACTAGAGTGCAGTGGTGCAATCTCGGCTCACAGCAACCTCTGCCTCCCAGGTTCAACTGATTCTCCCACCTCAGCCTTCTGAGTAGCTGGGATTAAACATGTGTGCTAATTTTTGTATTTTTAGTAGGGACAAGGTTTCACCATGTTGGCTAGGCTGCTCAAACTCCTGACCTCAGGTGATCTGCCCACCTTGGCCTCCCAGAGTACTGAGATTACAGGTGTGAGCCACTGTGCCTGGCCAATTCATGCCTCAGTTTCTTCATCTCCGGATTGAGGGATTTGTAGCAGATGATTTTTTTTTGCACTAGTACCTTCCAGCTCTAAAGAAGTTTGAAATAGCATAATAAAAGGCAACATGAAAGTGAAGTTTTAATTGTAATATTTTCTGTCACAGGAGCATATGTATATTTCAAATACTGGTAACAACTCTAGCATTCTCTGGTATTAGTATTTATTAATATGCTCATGAACTTGTAAGCACCACATCAGACATACAGACTCTTTGCTTTAAAGGAGCATATATTTAAGACATTAAAATACCTACAGCTATATTCCTTTTCTCAGTTGTCTTAGGCTACTATATGGAAAGATAGGTGTCAATTATAGGTAGTTAGGTAGATTTTCTGGAAAAACTGAAGTGCTTGAAAGAGAGTTAGACCTGTATTCTATAATTCTATTAATGGTAGCAAAGTGCAGAGACAGGAATTTCTTTGAGATGAAAGGAGTCCTGAAGAAGAGAAATGGAATTAAAGTTTGGACATAGTATTGTGAAATTCAATGGGTAAAGTAACCTTAATGTGGGAATAAAAGTGAAGGGAAAGGTCTTGAATAAGTTAACAGAAAAATAGGCTAAAAATATTAAGGGGAGGCAAATTGCAATACAGGGAGACAGTGCGCAAGAAAGCAAACAACCAGGAATCTGCCTGTGTGGTGAACGGAACCGTTACTACCTGAACCCCCCTTTCAAGCATTCAACTCAGGTTCCTCATTTATAAAGTGGGAAACTCATAATTGTCCTACCTACCTCACAGGGGTGTTGTGAGGATCAAAGGAACCGACGGATATACGAGCACTTTCGGATGTGTCAGGCACTGCCACGTAATGAGTAGGGGGAGACCCTGAAGCACGAGTGATACGCAACCGTAGGATTAGCCGTGCCTGCTCAAGTCCATCATGTAAATAAGGTGCTATGTATAACAGCTTCCCACCACCTTTGTTTTTCTGTTCGGTAATTCCGGTGTGGACAAATAAAGTTTTCACTTGTATGTGGTTATGGGTCAGTCCGCGACTTTGTTATGATGTCTTTGATCCTTTGTTGCCTCCATTCTCTCCATTGCTTTTTTCTTTGCTAAGTGTCTTGCCTGTCTGTGGCCTTTGGAGCTACATGTGCTTTCTGTCTTCAGATGACAGCGGCCCTCTTTATACGGCAATTGAGAAATAATTTTCCATTTCTAAGAGTTCTGTAAATTCCGTAAAATATTCTTGCTGGCACATTCTGTTGTCTAAATGGTACACAGCCTACACATAATAGTATAAATTGTCCTTGTTGACTTAAATTCTAAAGGAAATAGCACTAGTAAGTGCCATGCTGAAATTCTAATATTGGTGCAAAACCCACTATGAGCCACAATTTACATAAGAGTGTAAATTGTCCTGGTTGACTTAAATTTAAAGGAAATAGAACTAGAAATTCTAATATTGGTACAAAACCCATAATGTCTTAAATATATACTCCTTTAAAACAAACTTTATCTTTTTTTCCTACTCATAAAGTGTTTGGGATATAGTTAATATTAAATACCGAGCTTAGGAAAAGAAAGAAGCAAAGAGTTTAATGGAAAGAATACTGAACTTTGTATTGAAGGTCTGGATGCCAGCCAGTCATGCCATTAGTTAGCTGTGTGACTTTGGGCAAGCTACTTAGTTATCTCCTGTCCTGTTGATATTTTAGGTGATAGAGAAGGAAGTATGAGGAACCTGTAAGTATTTCAGAATTCTAAGCAAAATGAGTCCATTTTAAACCCCTTTTGCCTGCCATTTTTTTTTCCTTTTTATTTATTTATTTATTTATTTTTTGAGACAGAGTCTCCCTCTCTCACCTAGGCTGCAGTATAGTGGTGTGATCTCTGCTTACTGCAACCTCGCCTCCTGGGTTCAAGCAATTCTCCTGCCTCAGCCTCCCAAGTAGCTGGGATTACAGGTGTGCCACCATGCCCAGCTAATTTTTGTATTTTTAGTAGAGACGGGGGTTTCACCTTGTTGACCAGGATGGTCTCATCTCTTGACCTTGTGATCCACCCGCCTCAGCCTCCCAAAGTGCTGAGATTACAGGTGTAAACCACCACACCAGGCCTTCTTTGCCTCTTAACAAGTTAATGTCCCTAGATGCTCTGTAACCCTTCAGCAACTAGCCACTATTAATTTTCAACTTCTCTTATTAAACATTTAAGGCTGGACTCCAAATAGAATAGTCACAGCTCCTTGGAAAAAGAGTTTAATGGAAGGGTACTAGTCTATTTTTTCTTAATTTCTAGATGACATTAGGCCAAAAATCAGAGATTTCTATCCCTGCTCAAGGAACAGAAGTACTATGATCATATACAAGATTAGTGGGAGGCAACTTGGTAAAGTATGAACAATAGCAGCCTGATAGAGAATACCTGTGCTAACTTACTGGCTCTGCTCCTTGTTAGCTTATAAGTCATTGCCCCGCTCTGAAGCGCTTTATCTCTGAAATAATACCTGCTATACACACCCCACTTAGGTGTTGTGAGGCTAAGGTGAGATAATGTACATGAAAACATTTTGTAGACTGCATAAGTTGCTTAAATCTGTTTACATATGCATATTTTTAGTACCCCACACCTTTCTATAAACAACATTCCTAGTTTTGCTCAGTCTTTTGGTTTCTGGAGTTGGTGTGTGTTCAGAAACCAAGCAACAAAGATGGTTTTAGCTACTGTGGTTTGCCCTTAGTTTGCAACCTTTCATCTCAGTGGTTGGGTCTTCAGAATCATAGGTGTGAAAGTACGGTATAAAATTGTGGCTATTATAAATAGTACTTCAAAGTATATAGCATCTATTAATAGCAAGGCCAGAACAAGAAAGCTACTTTTAAATGCAAAGATCAGCACTTTAGTAGAATTACTGTAACCCTTATAAATATTCCATTTCTATCTAATGTAACATTTGAAGACTTCTGGTATTAAGCAGCTTAATAATTTTGTTAACATTTTAATATTTGTTCAATGATATTGAGAAATACAGTCTACTTTAAACTTTATATATCTCCAACACTGATTTTAACACTTAGCTATCTTTATCTTTCTTTATGGACAGCTCCAATGATCCACAAGCTCAGAAATATATCACGGAAAGTAAATGTTTAGTGAGTATGGTTCTATTATTGCTTCCCTGTTATGCAGAGTAATTACCAAGGTCATAACATGTAATGTTGACTGGAAACTTTGCACTGTTACTAAAAATTACTTAGCATAATTATAATTTATTTTATAGGTCGTTGAAAAAAATGGGAAATTACGATATGAAATTTATACTGGAGAAGAAACAAAATTTGTTAACCCCGAAGATGTTGCCAGACTGATATTTAGTAAAATGAAAGGTATTGAGCAAAAGATATATGACAGTTACCTTTAATGATCTTTTGAAAGTTGACCTTAAAAAAAAAAAGTTAGAGGCATTTTTAGATCTTGGGAGAAGCAGAGTGATTGAACAGATTAAGTAAGGACACACAAACCATAGACTGGTTGGGATGCTAATTGGCTTTGTGCCCTTGCCTTCCCTGCCTTTGATTTCACTATAAGTCATATAAATTAATTAGGCCAAATAAGAGTTTTCAAAACATATTTAGCGGCCAAGTAAGCTTGGTGAATAGTGGCACTTCAAGATTGACAATATACTGTAAACAATAATTTAGGCAGATTAAGTAGGTCTGATTTTTATCAGCAATTTAGACAAAGGCTTTGAGCGAGTGGTATTCTGTGAAACAATTTGGGAAATTCTGGAATAGATTGTTTATAAGGCTCCCTTCAGCCCTGGAATGATGTTAAGAACTTGTAGGATGGAAGGCATCCTATTTAAATGTAGGGAACTAACATTATGATGTTGTGTCTTCACATGGATGCATTAGGAGCTCATCTCCATGGAGTCACTCTAATTTAGAAGATGGTTAACACTGCAGCCTAAGAGCCAGGCTCTTTGGAAAGCTAGTTCTATGTCTAAAAGATATCACCAAAACCGCAAGAAGTGCTTCATGATTTAAGAACACAGAGAAGAAAACTGACGTGAGGCGGGAGGCGGGGCAAGCAAGTGCATTGGAAAATATGTTTAGTGAGATCTGTGTCATAAATTAATAAATCTCAAAGTATCACTTGTCATTTTTTTCATCAGAATTTTATATTTTTTTATATACAGAAACGGCACATTCTGTATTGGGCTCAGATGCAAATGATGTAGTTATTACTGTCCCATTTGATTTTGGAGAAAAGCAAAAAAATGCTCTTGGGTGAGTATACAGGGTTTATCTTACTGGCTTAATTAAAAGAAATACAGATTTCACAAAAATCGCTATTTAGTAAAAGGTGTAACATATTTGAATGTATGTTAGGCAATAAAATTGTATTTATAAATAGTAAGGTGTAACGATCATTAATTTTTTTTTTTTATGAAATGCCAAGAGACCAGGCATGGTGGCTCATGCCTGTAATCCCAGCACTTTGGGAGGCTGAGGCAGGTGGATCACCTGAGGTCAGGAGTTCATAGCCAACGTGGCAAAACCCCGTCTCTATTAAAATACAAAAATTAGCTGGGCATGGTGGTGGCGCCTATACTCCCAGCTACTCGTGAGGCTGAGGCATGAGAATCACCTGAACCCAGGAAGCGGACGTTGCAGTGAGCCAAAGTCACACCACTCCACTCCAGTTGGGCAACAGCAAGACTCTGTCTCAAAAATAAAGAAAGAAAAAAAAGAAATGCCAAGAGAACATAAAATTAATAGTGTACCCTCAGGTATTTTGATAGGAAACATTTTAAATTACAGGTTAAATTGACATTTATGAATCACTTTGCCTTAGTTTTCTGTAATTAAGGTTTATGTGGAAATTAAATGTACAGTTTTAGAAAATATTTGTAATTATTTCTTCACCTTAGATCTTAACATCTAAACAAAAAAGTTATATTTAGTTTTCACAGGTCATTATGCAAATGTATTGGTGAGCTTTTATGTCTTTGTTATGCAGGATAGAGTTTCACACAAGGCTCTGGGCATTGAAGTTGCTTCTGAGGCAGAGAATTGCTTTATTTACTTTTAAAAACTGAACACTAGGTTAAAGAAATTAGAACATTTCAAGTGTTTAATAAGTTTGTCTTTCTAAAGTTTTTGAATAAGCATTTTTTTCATTCAATAAATGTGTATTGATTACTGTTTAAGCCATGCTGTATTGAAGGTTGAGAAAATAGAAATAAATAAGACATGGTTTATGATGTCACAGAATTAACAAGATAATAATGATAAAGTGTGTCAAGTACTTTGAATGGGGACGTTCTGGATAGCGTGAAGACAGGACATCTGTCCTAGACTTCGAAGCCTAAAAGACTCATCTTTTGAACTTGTTTTTTTAACATGGACATTTTTGAGATCTTTATTTCTCTTATTCAGTATATGTGCTTTTTGTTTTCTTTGTCAAGAAAATGGGCTCTGAACATTATAATTTTAAACAGGAAGTGATCTCTTATAGTCATCCATTTGTTTTCTATATTCTTGTTTGATCATTATACGCCATGTTCTTATGAAATCTTAGTGGCTTTTGTATAAAATCTTTAGCAGAGCATTTCTAAAAATATACTGTAGAATTGAACGTGTTGTGATAAATTAAATTCATTGAAAGCAAATTGTTCACAGAGAAGCAGCTAGAGCTGCTGGATTTAATGTTTTGCGATTAATCCACGAACCATCTGCAGCTCTTCTTGCTTATGGAATTGGACAAGACTCCCCTACTGGAAAAAGGTAAAAATCATATTTTCAGTTTTAAGTTTTTTGAGTGCAGAAAACATTTTAGGTTATAGCAATTATATCAGTAAAGATTGTTACATAATGAGTGGTTCCCAACCTTTCTGGATGGAAAAACAGACTCTTGCCTAGAGTTTTTCAAATAGTTGAGAAAGATGTCCTAGGAAAGCACAGAAAGAACATAATGGAAGATTGAGCTTTTATGCCTTCGTCATATTGCCCTTATTTTGTCCTTGT